ATGCTAAGTAAATGAACAATAGCAATCCCATATCTAATAAAGCTCTACCACTTCTATTTAAGCTCTACCACTKTAAATACACCATCGCTTTTAAAATGGCTTACAATAGATCAAATACATTAGCGTTTGATGGCKAAGGATTTAAACTGAGTTCTGTTAACCCAAAAAGCAGTTCTTTGGACGAAGTTCTTCTGTGTTCATAGCCAGCAAGTGCTTTTGTTTGTGATGTAGAATCATTGGATTCTAATGATAATGATTAAGGTTTTAAACTATGGTGTTATTGTTCGTGAAGGGACGGATTAGTGGAATATTGTTGATGTTGGTTTTCATTAACTTTCATTCCATTATACGAACTCATTTGCAAAAATGCCGACCGCTGACATATAAAGTGTGGTTAATGTCATGTGATTTTCGCTTTTTTCTGGCTAAAACAGATGATCATGATGATAATACTGAATAATTTTCGCTAGGAACGCCTTCTTCGTAGTCTAGATCTGACTCTTAATGACTTTTTAATTTCTATAGAGCGGATTTCGTATGAGTGGGACACCGTTACCGCACGGTTACCGCACAGTTACCGGACCTGGCCTGCACAATTTTTGTGACCCAATGGGGCACTAGAATTTGGTTACAGTGTTACGGTCACAGTACAGTACCGTCCGTTTCCCAGTCATACGAAATCCGCTCTATTTGGAAAGTTACTGCCAYATTTAGAATACTCAAGAAAACGATATTCGTGACTTTGTTCGGAAACATTAAAAAGAAATTTCTTGTTATAGTTCCAGTACAACCTCCGGGCAACTGATGACATTTGATACATTGTTCCACTAAACGATAAAAGTTATTCATTTATACTTGACTCGTTATGGTACATTGTTTTCAAAAATCAAAATCTTTTGACTGAAAATTCGTCGAAGGAGCTCTTTAAAACGCTTACATATTCATGCTTGTACAGTCAACTCTCGCTATTACGGACACCCTCGGGACCGTAAAAGAGTCCGTAGTAACGAGAGTTACTTTCAGTCRTTTCTTTGTATTTTTCGCCGGGGATTCAGTATTTTACTGTCCGCAATATCGAGGTGTCCGTTGTAGCGGGGTGTCCGTAAGACGAGAGTTGACTGTATATGCAAGTGTCCGTGCTCTACCTCGGATAACCTTTTTATTATAGATAAGCAAGATAAAGACAGTTTTATTACGTTTGACCACTGAAATTACCTCTATTTTACGGACAGAMTGAATTGTTCCGGTGCCCGGAATAAAGAGGTGTTCATGTCCATAAGGGTATTTGTCWCAAAGAACGTATTTTACTGTTCRCTCGAGGTTATCACGTACGTGGTCGTAATATACCASTGTCYGTTATTAGAGGTCGTACAATGGTCTTAATAACCATAGCTTGATGACACTGACGTYGCRTTGTTATGTAAGAATACTGAATTCACGACGTCGAACTTTTCACGAGCAGAATCGGCCTCAAAATTGACATCAAAATTTTGGTAATTCATTTTGYTTCGGTTGGATCATTGAAACATTGGAATCGTTTTGAATGAACTTGGCATWGCAGTCGATAAGACATCCGTTTAGACAAAACGTTCTTGTGACGTTTTACCACAGAAAATAATACAACAATGGCTGAACAAATGATTGACCTCTAAAACTAARGAAACGTCTTSCTTGCGTTTAAACATTAAACACTGTTAAGTCATTTTCCCTTGTTGTCATTTTCTTTCGTTGTTTTGCTAGTGCTATTGTCATTTCTAGACTAATCAATTTTGTGATTTTRTTWCTATGAAATGATTACAGGAMRGTAAGCAAAATAGGCGGCAAAGTATTCATACCATGTAAAAACCRACGTAGAAGCGAACTTTATCCGTTCCTTTTCTCCCCTATTGCTAATTGGTTATTTTTGAATATAGAACAGCACTTACTAGATAGTCTAACAAAAGTACCCTTGTATCATACAGCCTCTTGGAAGTTTTATTTTACAAGTTCACACGCTGTCAACTAATAGGCTTATCATCCTGAAAAAACGTTTATTGCATGGCTCCAAAATATTAACCCTCCAATTCATGGACACTTGTAGATGAGTTATCAAATCATTTGATTGAAAAATAGATTTGTTTGTTTGGCGACGACCGCAATAATGATAACAGCAAAGATCCTTTCAGACAAACATGTAAATCATGAAAGTTTCTGTTCATACCGACTTCTCCTAATACCCCTAACTCTGCACGGCTATTTGTTATTTTCAAAAATAAAGCGTTTTAAGATGGCTTTCGTCTAATCTGACAGAAAAAAATCGTGCATATACAGAAGTAGTGAATTATTAAAGAATCACAAGATACGGTATTCCCTTTTTCTCAGATAAAAACAATTATTGGTTACCGCTTGCTTACCTACTTATGAAACAAACTTTACTTATATTGTTTTCAAGAAAAGGGTTAGCCAAAAAGGATGTTTTTAGCATTGTTAGAGCTAAATCTGCTTGTGTGAGGACGCATGCTATTAATAATTCGTTCCTTTTTCCGCGGTRTAGTCGCTTTCAGATCGAGCAGAGGGATTACTACTTACTTGAGCTTGTTTACTTCTTTGGATAGCCACATTTTTGGYGTTTGATGGACGGTCCCTTTCAATTTTGCTCAATGAATGGTTTATTTTGATGGAGTGTCACTGTCGCAGTCAATTTCCAGTCATTGGGCAGTTGAAAATATAGGATCTTGCTCAACACATTAATCTGTGCGGAACTAGTTTTTCGGTGTTATATGAAAACCCGATACCTCAATCAATCATTTATTCTAGTTGTGTTTGATCTTAATTAACAACAAGAGCGAATCGCTAGAGGTATTTAGTAATAGTTGAACTTCAAATAGCTCAGCTTTTGAGCCACTAACAAAATGTCACTTAGAGGGTAATTGCTTTATGGGGTACGATAAAACGGGCTCCTCGATTGGGTTCCGTTCTTAAAGTGTTAAACATTGCTTACACTTTATCGATTGAATGATAAATGCTGCCACAGTTTGTACTGCCCCACAGGTTCACCGCGCGCACTGGTTCTAATTGGCCGATGCAATCAAGTAAGCCAGTTARAGGACGCTCTACGTCGCGCGCCGTTGGTACCCATTTGAGGTATTAGATCCCGCGTCCTCTGTTTGTTGACWCAAAACAAAACTTAATTGGACGACGAATGATAATAATAACAACCTTTTGGGGGAAATTATTTCAATTTTCAATTTTTTCTCCTGTGATGATTGAGTTCCCTTTTTTTATTTCCAAAGCAGAAACATGATTTTATTATGCAGAGACTGMTGAAGGCTACCTGGGTTGAATGAAATGTTGGGTGGGACTTGTTTGTTTGATTCTCACGAATGGAATGAAGTTCTATCTCTTTAAAATGACTCCAGAAGAGTCTGAACCGTTGGTGGATAGGGTACATCACAGTTTTAAATTCAMCTGAGTGTTTAATTGACAAGGAAATGCAGTCAGCTCTATATWTGAATTTGAAATCTCTTTCGAGAATTTGTTAAATGACCGTATTTTGGATTATCTCTTGTTGACTGGACAACCACTTCGATCAGACTAAAAGGTCAACTGTTTTTTTTTTTTACAATAATAGGTCCATTTATGTTTAAAAAAAATACTTTTTGTCCTATTTGTCTTCGTTATGTATCGAAAAAATGAGAAAAACACTACGTTCAGTTCGTATTTCGATAGATAGAATGTTGATTGTGYGGCGAGCACACTGGTCAACCGTTACATCTTTTTTGTGTGTTTGTATTTTGTCGTTTTGTTCCACAGTGATTCATGATTCACTYATCATTGGTTTGACACGGATAATAAACACGCGCAATCAAGTAAAAATTCAGAGAACGCTTTTCAAAATTTAATCTGGACGTAATTTAACGCCTAAAACGCCTAAAACKTGGCGCCTTTACTTGTAATATAAACACATCCAGACCTGCTGTGATTGGTTCATCATCCCGACCTGTTTAACTATCAATGAACGCTTAAAGATAAAACAGAATAATCGACAGAATCTTCTCGAGAAACTAGTAGATTTTTTTTTATATTTTGACTTTATATTCAGTAAACATAGAAAATAGAAATCTTGTGCAATTTTTTTAACACATTTAAATGAAGTTGAGTCATCACTAATTATAACTGTTGTGATTCAATTGCTGAGATATTGGCTGTACGTAAATTAGAGGCGCCATTGGAGTCGAGGTGTCCGTAATATAGAAATGTCCTTAATATATAGATGTCCGTAATAAAGAGGTGTATGTAATTCATGTAATATTTATACGACTGTAATATGGTGTCCAAAAATTCGAGGTGTCCGTAACATGGTATCAGAGATGGCCGTAGCGTCGAAGTGCCCGTAATATAGAGTTGTCCGTAACATTTTTGTAATCGCTTTCTTACCATAATGACCGTGAGAGAGATAGGCCTGAATGAAGAGGCGTTCAGTACCATTCTCTCTTTCGGCACATGCGGCACAGGTAGTCCATCACAAGTTCTAGTTTTGAATGGTTGATGTAGTTCTAGTTATCTTCATGGTAACTTTTTTGGATGTTATACCGATGCAGCTCAAATATAACACTGAAACAGCTCCGAGTAAGAAAGAGGTAGCTCCGATGTTACACCGGCGCAGCTCCGATGTAATATCGATGTAGCTACGATGTAAAACCGACGTAGCTCCGATGTTACACCGACGTAGCTCCGACATAACACTGACTCCGAGTAACACCGACGTAGCTTCCACTAATTCAAGGCCGGTTGTCTTTTCTTTGTAGAGTGCAAACACGAAAACCATGAAATACTTTACTATTTATATGTAGTTTTTAATCCACTGAATTATTATAGGTCCCTTTAGTGCTTTCTATTGTTTTATATCCACAGTTTGTAGCGCTGGCTAATATTGGAATATTGGTTTTTCATGTTTTTGTGGTTGCACCCTAGTGATTTCAGGGGTGTATCAAAAGGAAAAAGACACAATTTGTAAAATAGTTTTTTTTTTCATATCTGCTACTCTWAAAGTTAATTTTATCGTAGTTTTATTAAACTAGAACATCCCCTTTCACATTTCACCCCAARTGTACAAGAATATTCATTATTTTATTGATTTGGAGTTTTGGGATCTTTGCGTGCCTTAWGACGTCGAAAAAAGCACAGGGAGCCCAATCGGATTTAAGGAATCGTTGTGAGACTAAAATAAGACTGTCACTGCTTTTTTGATTAATTTTCTTTGTTATTTTGTCCATTTCCTTTTTACACTAGCAAGAAACGTCTTCAAGATCATTTTTTGGCAGCATTTTAGTAGATTTACACTTGTTGACTATACTCAGAATTATTTCTAATCGGAGCCGATGATTCTTGAAAAGATGATCCGTACTGAAATTCCTCCCTCTCTCAAGCGAATAAAGCTATATCTTTAATTATAATTCAACTCTGATTTCAAAGTAAAATATCTAAACAGCGGCCGGCGTCTCTGTRCCWGGGTTGCCGCTCACCGGTGTGAGTTGTTCACATGATGGAGACAGCGGAGACTGGGAATTACACACAGTTCTGCGGAACTTTGCCCGCGCATTTTGGAACCAAACCTGTAAAACTCGTTTGGTTAAACCGGTTTTTTGAGAGAGTTGTTTTAAGTCCTTTGCGTCTGGGTTGTGGTTGATAGCGAAATATGCCTTCATTGCGCGAAGTTGGTGATGTTTGAACGATGTTCGTACTCGTTTTGGTCGGCCATCACTTGTTACGCCGTTCAGGTCGTCGGGACTTCCAAGAGTAAACCCTGTAAACAAAGAAACGAGTCAAATGTTAACTCTTTGCCAATGAAAAACAAGTATTATGTTTACAAAAATAATTTAATATGCATTTCAATGATGATGATGATGATGATGGAAAGAATAATAATTTTTTGATGATAATAGTAATAAATGATATCAATTTGATGATCAATAAATAATAAAAGAAAGAATGATAAATATACAACTATTTGAATGCAATTTGGTTTGTATTTTTCTCTTTCTCATCAAATAAGTGAAAATTATCCATAAATGTTGATTTTTGTGCAGCAAATTTTGGTCGTGTATAGTCGCCCTACTCTCGAAGAACCTTTTTGAAATAACTTTATAATATCAGTGATATAACTGGAATAAGTCAATACACTAACATTTAATGAGATGGTAAAAAGGCCGTTCAATTTCAAATCTTTTTCACATCGTTACGAAAACCGGAAAATTTCGTGCAAAAAGAGAGCCACTGGAAGTTGTATCATACCATTGAATAGCAAAGGAAGCAGGAACTCAGTTTCAAATAATGAAATGCAGGAGGTAACTGCACAAATGCCCTTACACGCCATGATGTCTCGAGAGAAGGGAACTTGTAAGTTGAGTAGCCACATGTGAACTCACGAACGGTAATGGCCAACACTGCCCACAATCGCAAATTATGTAAAATTTATATAAGAAAAGGAAATGCACCTTTAGAAGTGACATCACTTCACTAATATCTGAARATCAGTGGTAGTTTTACTCTTGCGAATTTTTTGCAGTTGTATTAATATAACTGGAAAAAACAGTTTTTAGTAGTATTCGTTTTCGTCGTGCAGTTTTGAGACTCCCGTGGGTTATTTTTTTTGTGCGCGCTCATTTTTGTTTTCTATAATTTAATTTCAGTCATCATTGTGTCTTTTTAAACTTTGTTTATTTCTTCTATTTTAACACTGCTCTTTTTTGTTTTTGTTTTCCCTGTTTCCTGCTTTAAAAATAGCCATTGTGGTCCATTACCTTTATATTTCTTTTTTATTATAGAGTAAAGTATTCTTTTTAATGTCTGCCGCATGAGTGAATAGACAGATTTATGAGTAAAAYATGAATGACGGAACTAATACCGTTGAAAGTGAAATCATTTGTGGCTAATATCACAGCATTACGGTATAACGGGAGCCTTGTTTGTATATTTAAGTACTTCCGATGGAAAACTAGTCGATAGTGCACGCAACGTAAGAGAGAGGAAAACTTAGATTTGTTGAAGTACACTTTAAGTTTTTGAAGGCTTGGATKACTGAGAACCTACTTAGCAAGTGSTTTTCTTGTAAAAAGCCTGTTTATGATAGTGGACTAAAGTGTTTTATACTTCAAATTCAAGAATCGAAAACTGAAATCAATGATGTGTTTTTGACGGTGATTTTTCAAGAGAATCCACGTCACTAAGAGACTTTTTCATCAAATATCGTACATTATCTGAAAGTATTATTGTCATATTTTTAAGTGTTATATTTTCGTGGAAATTCCATGGATTTTTATTGATATCTGTTTTATGGGGTGACATTAGTTTCCTGAAAAAWTTGACGATTCTTAACTGTTCCAATGAAAAATGGCGGGAAATTCGTTTTTATKCACGCGCGCGCGCATSAATAGGCAAAACAGACTATGTAAAAAGTCAGTGTAATTCGAWCCAAAGCCGTATACTTGTATTTTAAATTTGTAATAAAATAAAATAGTCGCTGTCTAAAGCAATTTGTTTAGCGTAAATGTTACACCACACATACCAAAATTAATATGTACAATAAGAAATTTAGGTCTTCAAATGACCTATGAATTACATTTGCTTTATTGCCTATCGATGTTATAATCTTTACGAAATGGATGCACAACGCCAATTGAATCTAGAATTAGCATTAATTTGATATAATGGTCTCATTTGTGGAACTAACGGCCTTTTATTGAATATTCTAGATCATGGAAAGCGGAAACTTGAGATACAGACACCGAGACTTCGTAGAATTTCCTCTAAAGACGGGCTAGTGATAATTATAGAGAAAAACGTAAGTAAATGAGAACGCCTTTTTTATTTCATCTCAACGTTTTCTGTTCCAGTCAGTTTCCTTTACTACAATGACTAAGTCAGTCTTGTTATTCACTTTTCTCTGAGCCGACTTTTTACACAATTTCATGTTTCCTTTTGTCTTCTTGCCCAACGAACAAGCTCATTTATTAACTCCCATCTTCGTAGACAGGGAAGTCGCGAACCTTTCCTTCTCCGCATAAAAAGAAAATCTTACAATTTAAGTGTTTTTCATGCTATTCTTCTGTGTTTTTATTATAAAAAATTGAATTCACACTTGTTTCTTAAGGCTGATTTACACGGCACGACTGTCTCGTGCGATTTGTAGTATACGACTTGAATCGTGNTAGATTGAACATTTCCGATAATAAAACTACTGCATTAATCGTTTTCAGCCATTCCAATGACATTCAAAAGATAAAAGACCGGCGGCCATGTTGAAGAAATGAGGATTAGATAAAGTTCCTCCAAGATGGCCGCTGTGACGTAACACTATGAAAACGAAAAATATGAAATAAAAATGCTAAAGCACACTTTAACTGATACAAAATCTAATCATCGTGAGATCGACATTTGATACGTTTGGCGATATTGCTGGTAAAAGATATTTACCTATAATGACCCGTCATCAAACTACGAATCAGTTTTCCACTTTAATAGCTATTAAACCACATAGTAATTAAACCAGAAAAGATTTTTARTAAATGCTGTGTATTCTGCTCTCTTTTCTAATGTACTCTTTTCATAAAAACAATAAAAAATGGCTAGGTTYTTTGACAGTTTTTAATCAAAGACAAACTAATGGCCATCGTTCCTCACTCCCARAAATTATTATTTCTTGGTTTCCCGAGGATGTTAAATAGCTAAACAAGGWAGAAATACATTGTTTTAAATTTTTTCTTAAAAAATGYTCACATTTGCCATTGTTAGCAATTTCTACTGTTTAARACATACAAGTTGCAAAAATAATTCTTTTGTATTTTAACACAAAAACTGTAAAACTGTGCAGCAAAATTCACCAAAGTTTCAACATTTGCTAAAAGCCAAATAATCAAGATTTTCATCACATAAGATACAATTTATGATTTCTCCTTTTCAACAATGTTTTAACATAGTTTTGAATAAATGATGAACGATACTCCTAAACAAACATCACTGTTTCATCACCGCATCCGAAGTGAAACCTAAGATTCGGAAAGCTAGTTTATTTATTGATGTTTCAAATTGATTTCTAAAGTAAATTTTTAATATCATTTTTGACAAACGACGTTTCGTCGGCTGCTTTGTAGTCTTTTCACGACCTTTGCAGCTGAAAAACACTTTTGTTATAATTATCGATCTTTTGCTGGGCTTTTTGTTATTGTTTTTTTTTGTATTCTTGCACAATAAAACAAGTGCATTATAATTTTTCCTTTTTAAAATTCATGGAGGCATTAGAATCTCAGAAGGCGTCACATTATAAATCCTTTTTTTAAATGTTTACCGATGTCGAAACGAACCTTTTTAACGACCTTTTTGACCACTTTCATAACAGTCTGAACAGCCGCAAACCAACTGTCTCAAAACATATACTTGAAAAGAGCATKCATTRTAACAAATACTCGAATAAAAACCTTCAAAAGCTKATGATTGAGGTTTCTATTCTAGTTTAGTACACAACGTGTTGATGAACAGCCTTAGAAAGGTGTGGCGTAGCGTCAAGTTCTGAATTTAATTTAAGGTTGAAAGTAATTTGCTGGTTAAACACGCTTTCTTTGTTTAGTCTTCARAGTGTGCTCCATTGCCGTGTGGATTTTCAAATCTCTCATGTTCATATTYATATTGAGCACTATTGATAAAATTGATCATTTTCAATGTTCATAAAATGTCGTGAAATACTAGTATCAATGCATCGCTGGATTTCTTTGAGTTGAAGGCGTTCAMTRGAACTCTTTTTATCCAATTCAAAAGTCTTTATGAAGCCCACGTAGAATGTCACAGCAATACATTTAGGAGCTCTCTGTATTCACAAACAAAGCGCCGTAATTTCTATTGTTTTACAAATCAAAGCGTTACTCAGTAAACTGAGTTTCTGTAGTAGGTGTTGTGTTGTGGACGTAAGATCAGAAGCCGCCGCACAAWCTATAAATCACACTGAAACACAATGTATTTAATTTKCTTTCAATTGTCGCAATTGTGATGCAGATATATGAGAAATTCTTAATGTAAAATTATGAAGTTTTCTTAACTGTTTCGCTTGTAATTATTATTATTGTAATATCATTAGATTAAATTTGACGCAATCGTAGGAATCACTCATTCATATCATGATTTATGAAAGTTAAAAGAAATCCCGCATCCCGAGTCCCGTATTYCATGTTTTATATTGAAGTAACCGCTTACCTGAGAGTGCGCTGACACTATCCAGCGCCGCCGCTAATCGTCGTTTTCTAGGTCGTCCTTTGCCAGTATTTTTKCCAGAATGTGATTCTTCTCTTAATAATTCTTCGTAATCTTCTTTGCAATATATTCTCATTCCTCGCATCCCAAAATACTCTCCCGTAGCGAGCATGCGCTTACAGCGATCACAGGCGAAGCAGCCAATATGGTAAACGTGATCACGGGCTCTCATGACGAGCTCTTTACTTGAAATCCCTTGGCTGCACGATGAACATTTTTTTATTGARAACCGCCTGAAATTAGAAAATTGTAGTTACTTTATATTACGGACACCCTATAAAACGGACACCTCCTTAATATGGAAACACCTTTATTTTACGAACACCTTTATACCGTCATCAAATTGTGGATAAAAATGTACTACTGATATCTCTATAAAGCGGTCACTTTCTTGTAACTCTGCGGTCGCCACAGACTATTATATGCCCAGCTGTAATGACCTAGTTTTATAAGTGCATTTTTAAAAACGTATTAAGTCTAAAAATGGATGCGCATTTTACCATAAGTAAAATACCATAGTTGAATTKCAAAGACAATAAAATGCGTCAGGCTACCCTAATGAAATGTAGGATACAGTGATGAAATGGTAGAGATGGACAACAAATAGTCAAACCGAACTTATTATTTATCTAACATTGCTGGATCGGTTTAAATTAAATTGCAATAAAGAAGGAATCCGTTTGGGAAAAAAGGATGTTTACTTAGTTGTGGTAATGAGGACAACGGAGAAAGTCTCATAGGAAGACGACAAATGATGTTAAAAAACAGGCAAAGGAAAAGGTGCGGAAACAAACCAAAAATTATAATGATACAATTTAAATGCCAAGGCCGGCAACTACACCGATGTTTCATATAATGACTGACTAGAAAAAAAAGATTCAGTTCCAAAAAACTAGAAAGTTGATAATATGTAAATTGTTTAGTTGAGTTGAGTGAGCAAGAGAGTGAAATTAGTGGCTTTAAATTTCACAAACCAATATTTGCACTCTACTCGAAAGCACTTGAATGCAATCACAGTCACTCGAGTTCTATTTTCATCTGTATCTTTCTGACAGCGTGCTAAATGAGGCAATTCMAAGTCTGGTTCTGTACACGGAAGCATAGATRGAGAAAAAGGGAGAGCTAGAGTGTTAAGATGTTGAGAGGAGAACAGACTTTTGGGAAATGATAAGAAGGTGCTAAACAATAATGAAATAAGAATGTATTGTGTGATTGTTGGTTGAATGAAAGAACTAATGAATGAAATTCTGAATGAATATGAAAGAAGGAGTGGATGGGAAAATGAATAGATGGGAGAATTAATGGATGGGAGAATTAATGGATGGGAGAATTAATGGATGAATGGAGTAATGCATGGCGGACTTGTTGGATAAATAAAGAAGTTCTGGAGCATTGATTAATGGATGGGACAAATGAATGATGGAAGAATGCATGATTACTTGAATGCATGAATGAAATGAATAAAGGATTCTTGGATTGGAAAGGCATATATATAGATATCCTTGAATTATTTAAACCTATATATCAATCTTTCAAACGGTGAACAAATAGCGAAAATAGTCAGCGAATAAAGATGAAGCTACCAAAAGATAATCATCAAATTACCCAACAAAATAAAGACCATTTTTTAGTTGAAACACAAATCGAAACATCAAGTGCGTCGAATTTAGCTGTCGAAATTATTGCCAATAAAAATCGTCGGACGGTTTTCAGACTTATCACGGCCCGCAATCTTTCCACATCTACAAACAGCGGTCGTTCGCGGCTGAATTTTTCATCTTCCGATTTGTATTGTACAAAACATCTTGATACCAAAAACAATATTAGCCACTTCACACGATTTTCAAAACATCCTCGTTTTTGTATGTATAAGTCCTACATGGAGGACTGTCCATTGAGTATTGAATTTCAAGGCCTTCACAAGGATATGCCAAACAAACTGCACAGTGTTTTTAGAAAAACGCTTTTAGACGACGCAAAATCTTGAGTTTTGTACTCGAAACTATACCGGAAATATTGACGGAAAGTACTTTATACACAGAACGGGGTTTTCACGAYCATCTTGTGAATGAGGCCCTTGAGGACTTGATTGATACTAAGAACCCAGGACATGTTTTTTTACTTTATGAAGATCTCAAGCGCACTCAGTCGCATGCTTAATGGCGCAGAAATTTCCAGTTAGGACATCAAGGTATCCAAGCAACGATTATTATGRCCGGTAATTGTTAACATGATAGCTGCGAACACATGTACTCAACTGYTCTGGACACGATTTAGGAAAATGAACACTTGTACGAAGTAGTGGAGTATAGATTGATAGCATCGAAATTACTCGAAATTGTTGGGAGAATTTTTGCTCGATAAGCCGTGGTATTTGTGTATTGTGGAGGTGTGCACTTAAAGCGATACCAATTCATCTGACAGGAAGAAAGATAAATTGCCAATTTTATCACATTTGAAGCAGCCTTAAAGCAGGCTTTTGTCCTTTGTAATTATGACATTAAAGAGTTACATCACCAAATGCATGCTTTTTTGGTATCATTGTTAATTTGACATGCGGAAATTCAGAAATTAAAAGTTTTGATTGTGTAATGACGGTGTTTGGCTTTTAAGAGAAAGTGCCGAAAAGATAAGCAAAAGAAATTCGAAATTAAAACTCTCGTTGAGGCTTTGCTTGTGTTTGATTACATCACAAAAGGGGAGGACATTGCATGTAACAGACATGTTAAAATTACCAAGGAGATATGAAGTAACATGAGAAACTTATGGGAGCAAATAAAAACAATGTGAGAAGTTTGAAAAAATATAAAGAATTTTAAGAAATTAAGAAAACATTTAAAAAAATGTACTCTACTTTTAATTCAATAGACAACAGGTTTTTTTATATTAGATATGAAAAGGGTGGAAATTGAATGCAATGAACACTAAATAAATACGAAAAAAATTGAAGAAAGAAGTTCAAAGTAAAAAAGTGTGAAACATTTTTTTCAGGAAATGTTGCGGTTTTTGTATTCAAACTGTCCATTTTTAACCCCTTTTGACATTTTTTGGGCGCGTACTTTTAAAGCCCAATGCAAATCGATTGCGTAGATATAATACATTTAATACGATAATCGCCCATAGAAAGGCTTATCATAAAGAGATCAAGAGAAAATCCCCTTCACAGTAACTGTCTGATCAATAACATTACGAGAGAAATATTACTGTTTTGACAGCACAGGGCAATAGGATTTCGACTGTTRACCGAACTTAAGTAATTGTGTCAAGAGGATCGTGGAGATAATGAAATTATGGAACCTTAACTTTAACTTGGTTGTCTAAAATAAACTCAAATGCGCGCGTTTCTAGGRAACTCGTTTTGGACGTAAGAATTTCCTTTGTGTACGGCGGAGAATTCTCGTAGCTTATAAACCCAAAAGTATATATTATAAATAGTAGTGTAATGCCTCTGTTGACCAATAGATCTTTGTTAGCTTATTATGTTTACTTTGACCTATTTTATTTGACAGCGTGGCTGAAAGGTTTGGGCTTAACCAGCGAAATGGCGACGAGCAGAAACCATTTAAGTGTTAAAAACACAAATATGGCTAGAGCTTAAAAATTTGATGAGTCCTATGTTTAATATCTGASCAAAGTTATTGCTGTGATCAAATAGATTTGTTAGCATACCCAAAACAAATTTTATCGTTAAAAAGTTTTTAATCAAAATGAATTTTGACAGTGTTGCCATTGTTTGGCTTTCCTCTGTCATCTTTGAAGTGGTAGCTTTGTCAGTCTTCATAACGAAGGAGAAATGAAGTATAACTTCTAAATTAGCWAAGAAAAAACACCGCGAGAACTAATGAAAGAATTAATAGACAGTGTGACAGCCAAGAGATACCATCTCGATAGTTTTTTATTCAGTTTCGCCGCTGTAGAACCTCTTATCGAATATTTATTCGCCCTGTACGACAGGTGTTGCGCGCGGTTGTAACTTTTCAACTTCGTTCGGAAAATCTCCGTGGCTATTTACCCCTTATGTTTAGTGCCACTTTCAATGAATTTAATATTAAATGTCAAAATAAAAGCTAGAAATTAATTTCKCTTCCGTGAAAAAGAAAAACATGTCTTTCTTCTGGAGCCGATACACAAAGRAGGGGAACAAACTGTGCCTAAGGCTATGMGGGCTGTCATTAYCCCGCTTCTACCACCATTTGAGCTCTATAAACCACTCGATGGTAATTTCATTCTGGTTCTTCTTTTCATTCTTTCTTTGCTTTTTAGATCCTTTGTTAGGCAYCGTAGCTGTCGTTTTTAATAGCAGTACTTGAGAAAATCTTAGCATTGACAATAACAGCCGAAATAGGGCTACGTGAACGGATTGACCGGCGATCCATTCGATGTCAGCTGTTATTTTAGTGATAAACTGGTTTTGCAAACACTTGATGACAAGCACGGTGAAGATAGAACCCTACATGTGATATACATCTAAGAATTAATTTAGTAATGCTAGATTATAGAGTACGATGGGGTGGCTTGCCCGGGCGAGGCGTAAAGGAATATCACTGCTAACGTGGAGTTGTTTATCCTATACAAATSATTCAAAATAAAAACACRGCAATCAAACATTGTTCTCTATTGTGAAGCTATTCAATTCACTCAGCGTTTATTAGAATTTTTCACCAAGCAACATAGTTTGATCTCTCTGGTAAAACGTTTTTTTAACTAAAGACCATTCATCCGATGAAAAATTTAAAGCCTTGTTGTTTTGACAAATTAAGATTAATTTAGGTATTAAAAAGCTCCATTGTACGTCTGGGCCACGGTGAAAACATTTGGTGAATATTACGATTTACGTAATTGAAAGAACGCTTCTAAGTAAAACAMCTAAAGAGTCATATGCATTGACTAGAATGGAATTGTTTTTKGGGTTTTTGCGCTAAGAACKTTAGAATTGGATTYAGTATGTTTTTACTGCGTGGAAATCGACTTTCATGTAATGAAATGCATGAAAATGCTTAAAYCCATTAATAGGAGCAAGAGTTTGGTTTGTGTAATTTAATTTATAAAACATAASTCGAGAGATTGTTGTTTAAAAATCAAAGGATAACTTACTTGTAGTAGTCGTCTCGACATAATATAAGGCCGTCTCTTGAAAAGCAAGTCAGTTCGTTATCAAGCCTCAAATCGCATTCACTGCATTTTAGACAGTCAATATGCCATTCGCGATCTACGGCAAGTAAGTAGAAGCGCTCAAGAATTCTCGTCCCGCATCCGGCGCACATGGTACACTTATCRAGCTGGTTCATTTGATCAGCACTCGGCATCCTAACCTGGAAATAGAACATGACACGGTTTACTCCATGAAACGCCGTAAAAATTAGCTAAACTTCTTAAACTATAAAGCGATGGATTTCCAGAAGTAAGCCCCCCAGCATGAAAGATATCTCTGATTTTATAATAAGATCAAGTTAAGGCCTTTTTTTTCGGGAAATGCTTAATATGTCAAATATATTTACCTAAGCGTACCAATTTTGCAAATGTGAAATTGAAGACAATTAAAGCAGCGAAGTGGAATTCTCAGATGTTTAAAAGGAAAAACAGTTTTGTCAGGAAGTTTAATGATAACTTCATTAGATATATTCCTTTGAAGATCTAGATTCTTGTTGATTCCTTTTCGCCTTGAAGCCAGGAACAACGGACTCGACTTTCCATCGAGTTGACAAAAATACGAAATGAAAAATTTAAAAATACATGAACCTGACAGGTTAAAATATATTATTTAAATAAATCTCCGTGGAGGAAGTCGTTTATAATATTTTCTCGCTATTATGGGAAATTTTGTGTTGAATTTTCGTCAAATTGTTCAACCGTGATTTTAAATGTAACACTATTATAACAATTCCGAGGTAAAAACTCCCAAAGTCTTGCGTCTAAATTTCTGTATTAATTTATAAACAAATGGAACTGCTTCTCGAGATTACTTCTGATTGTTAGATCAGTAATTTATAGTGTTAAGTTGGAGGAACAGCAATGAGATCTTTTAGGAAAGTATACCACCGTTTAGATTGTTGTGATTCTAACCTGTCAATATKCCTRCGATCACACCGCTTGACAACTTCCAAATCAAACTGAGAAGTGCTTCATTCATGGAATAAATCTGTAATTCCATGCAAGTGAATTTGTAGTCGACTTAATATGTGCTTTCAAACATTTTTGCTCGCAAGGACGGTCCAGAATACTATAGCTTATGATTTCCAGCCAATAGAAATGGCTCATTCACACTTGATTGACAGCAAGATTGAAAACAAAAAAGTGTTTTTTCATTTGATACTTGGCTCTTCCACATTTCCGCTACGATGTTTGTTTATTCAAATCTGATTAGATTCTTGATCATAAGGCTTCGGATGACTAGWGTGGACGAAACGGAAATCAAAGGTTCGCGTTTATAGGTTGTTCTCTGCTTTCCAGGGCCAAATAGCGTCCAYGAAACAAWGCCAACCAACTCATACAGAAACTATTGTATAGTAAAACTTAAGTTGTTTTGCAAGAGCTTCTAAACAAAAGCCACTAAAAGCTTCAAAGAAATATTATTGGAAGGACATTCAAACAACAACAAAAGCGACTTGTATAGACAAAGAATAAAAGATCGTTGACATGTCTAAAATCTTTTGATAATGTTTGTTTTTGGAGGGACTTATTGTGAGAATTTAAGAATTGCCTGTCAGTCATTACGAGGTGAATCCAAAAGAGTAGATCCAGCCAGTTACAGTATTTCTTCCAAAAAAACGTACAAAACCAATATATTGGTAGTACCGTACTGGTAAATTATGATAAACAGATTGAATTTTTACTCGGAGTTGACATGGGCAAGGATTTAACATGAAATCAAAAGCAGTTYTTTTATTATGCTGCTTGGAAAATAGTAAAGACGAAGTATAAACATTTTATTTTCAATGGATTTGAATCTGTAGTGATTTCTCAATTCTGCTGTTAAATTTTGTGATATTTAGCTATGGTTTTTTTAAATAGCGTTAGGCACAATGTTGTTCCTGTGTTGAATCAATTTAGTTATCAAAAACTCCGCCTTTCTACATAGTAYTAAACACTCAAGATGGATGCTTAACAACTTACAAGTTACGCGTTCTGAGAGCTCAAAATGACCCCAAACTTAAACGAAAACAATTTGTAATATCTTAAGTAGTTAGCACACGAATGTAAAATCATCCAAAACATACAATACTCTAAAACATTGTTCTCTTCACACCCGAGATAGAAGGTCCCGGAAATCAATGGCATATCTGACGTTTTTGTTCAAAATTATCTTTTTTTAATACTTCAATTTCGTTTTAAAAATAAAAACAATTTGTTTGCGGGATTTGATATTGTATTCCATCATTTTCTGCCGTTTTTTCGACSAATGTTTTGAAAACCTTATAAATATTTGATTATCATTGATGWAGGAAKAAAAGAAATCCATAAGAACCTGGCGAGAAAAACGGGGCAAAGTTGTTATTTGTTCATAAATTTTTCAAGTTAAAACCCCGTGAAGACGGCTCGAAACAGACATTTGCGATCAAAATAGCTTCAAATGYATTCGGTACAACGGAATTTTTATTAAAAAACACAATCTTAATCACTTAATATTGTTGCGAAATKCTTAGTTAAATGGAACTATTCACATTTTAACAGGTTCGCTTTGCGTTTATTGATTGTGAATGAATGTCATTTCCACTGGGCGTTCAGGTTTGTTTTGAACATCGTTTGTCGTGCTGAGAAAGTACCACGAACGGTTACTCCATATACACGAAAATGTGGAAWACATGTTTAAGCTCTATAAAATTCAAATCTGATCACATGAACTTAAATCAATAAAATACATGACCCTAAAACTTCTGTAAAAGTGATTTTTTGGCATAAAAAGCAATTTCAACATGAGCAAAACTACAACATTTATTTTCAGGTCCAGTGCTGATATGGAACAAATATAAACAATGAAAAATAAATAAAAATTTCAAGGAAAAATATCCACTGCGAGTAGCGAGTTTTATTACTTTTCAATCACAAAGCCGCAAGTTAATTTAGATTTTTCCTCAAGTATAAATAAACATTTTTTCATTGTGGATAGATATTTGAAACGAGTAAAAATCAAGGTCATTTGCACATCTTTTGGTCATATATTTTATATATTATCATACACCTTCAAACCTAAAGTAACTATACCTTGAGTAATTATCAAACACGGGAATAAAATTCGAGAGGAAATATGAATAGGATGGTAGCGTTTTCTTCTTGTTTTGTATTTATAATCTGCCATAATTAGTCCTCTGGGATMCTTGAGAGYTTCTCCARTACTGTTACCAAATTGTTATATTGAGCCTCGAGCTTCAACGGACCCCGGCACAGTTTTGCGTTCATGAACTACGGGAATTCATCTAAATTGCTCATGGGGAGAATCATTTCTCAGCAAGACCGATGTTAAACACAACTATAAAACTAGCACCGTTCTATAGTAATATCGATTAGGGACAAGATACTTCTACTGCCCCTGGCGCAACTTTGCGCAAACCGTTCGTGAACTCCGGGAATTCATCTAATGGGCTCAGAAGAAAGGCCACTTGCTCAGCAAGGAACACAATTCCGCACTTAACACTCTTTAAAGGACAACGATTGGGGATGGTTGAGATGATTAACACTGAGATGTGAACATTTATCCACARTGGGAACAATTTTGCAGCGATTCGAGTGCAAATGTTTGTACATAGAAGAAGAAATCCATAACGTGCAAAAAATGTTTAACTCCTTGTCTGAGTGATACAACTCGAAGCTGGTAATTGAGTTTATCAGTATTTTGAAAACAAAAAATTAAGATTGGAAAAGTTGGGGTAGATATCTATTGGGTCAGTAATGCATTAATCACATTGAGCATATCTTGAGAGTACTTGCACCGCGATTAGAAAGTTACGAAGGCGGATTTTGGGCAGATATGTTTTACCTCGATAGAAGCCCCAAACATCAGCTAGCAGTCGACTCCAAAGAACAATTTCTACGTTGATTGTACGATGTGATTTTGAGTCAAGAACAGTGGTTTGTGGTAGTGACAGATGTACGTTCGAAACCACTGTGTTACTCCCCCTATTTTGTAAGCATTTATTCAAATCGAGAGTATTGTTAGCTCCATATGGTATGGAAGGTGAGTCGAGCCAGGTGAACCGGGCGCTCTGGCCCAAGAACTAACCAATTACAAAATCAAAAATCAATTACACCAAATAACAAGCCGAACGGGTCAAAAAATCACCAAACTGAAAGATTTGCGAATAATTTTGAATAAATAAGTAAAACTGGCCGCTGTAATGTACGTTTTTTTCTCGAGGTACTTGACTTGAAGATGGAACAAAGTAGCTCACCACGTGTGGTTTTTTCCGCTGTTTTAAGACTTCTTTATTCAAATTGATCTCCAGTAGACAATAGTGTTTAGTTGTTCGGAGAGGCAGAATAAAAAAGCCCTCTTGGGCGCCCTATTTTTTGATATTTATCTATTGTGCGATAAACCTTGTATGAAGGGCCTACATTGAAGCTGATGACAAAGGCTAGACTTCATCGAGTACAACCCAGAACGTAAATCACATAATGTARGAGCCAKAGCAGGTCCTGTATTTTTTCGCTTTGTTTTAGACTTTACTTTAAAAGATTTCCCCCTTTTTAGTAATTTTACGATTCAATTAGCCAGCATGACAGGTACGACTGTCATTTCGTCGATCAATGAAGCTCGTCTCAAGCCACAAGCAAAGCTTAGAATTGACAAATCTGCCTCGCTGGCACATATGTTAGATTAAAGACCAAGTACGAAATAGGATCATTACAAAAGAGGGGCTATTCAGACCTGCATTGTTTTCCTTGCCAAAAGACCGCGAATTTTTGTGATTGTAGCTGTCACTTTTGCCTTCTGCATGGACACTTTGAACGGATATAATTAAATAAGTCAGACCCATCTTTCCTTCACTGYGATACACTGTAAAAGTATCATTTTGATTCGCGTGGAAGGAAATAACAATCCAGCTGATGCATCTTGTGAAACAATGGCTCATAGTGAGTAGAGAGCCACGGGCCCGCACGTGCCCTAACCAAAACACCAGTAAGAAAAATGAGTTTATTTTTGACTTGGAACCTCTGTGACAAAAGCTCGCTACAAAAGCYCTGGTYGGCTTTTGTGTCAATATTAATCTTAACACTGTAACAGGTTTCTTTTTGCAATGAGAGAAAAAAGAATCTGAATATYGTTAATAGGTTAAAATTTGATTACAAAGAGTGTTGAGTGAAAGTAATATGGTATGATTGATTCAGTTTTTGAATAGTTTTATTAAAAAGAACAAAAATGATATATTGAAGCTGTTGAAGTAAAGAAATTAGTGTTTTGCAATCAATAAGTTTATTAAAGGTACAAAGTTTCTTGAAATAAATAGAACAGAAATATGTACAAATGGAAAAGCAAAGGAAATGAAATCATTGAGAAAAGTGATAAAAAAAGACAAACTAATGTACAAGAACCAAGGAAGAGAAGGTCACGGAGGAGTTCCATRAGATAATGAGAAAAGAAGAGAAAAGACGATTGAGAAAAACTGCATTTATTGATGAGTGATGACAAGGTTGATGAACTGTGAACAATTTAGTTAACTTCAGAAGTAAAAGTAGAATATAATTAAAAAAAAGAATAATAGACGAACGAGCAGGAGGAAGCTAAAAAAAAGATGCAAAAAAGAAAGAATTCACGCCGCGAAAAGGAAATTGACACATTAGTCATTGACATCTGATAAAGAAATTGCGAACGTGATGGACGAGAAAAAAGGTCATGTTTACGAAARTACATTACAAAACCCCGCTGGAAATAGAACATTGACAAAACGATGACGAAATGGCAATTATGAAATGATTGCGGTGAAAGGTAAAAGATAAAATAAAAGAAGAAAACAAACAAAATAAAACAAAAATACAATGATATAAACTTCAGAAAACCATCCATCAGATATTTCTTTTCATCAAATTAAACCCCCAAAAGTTACAATTTTCTCACTAAACTGTAATATCCTAATATGTGACATTTTACAGGTAGAGTGTAAGYTCACATCTCCTTTCTAATTACGAAATAATTTAGGGGCAATTAGCTAAGATTTCGTAGTGTCAAGAGCCCAGGTGAGATCCAAGAGAACGCTCTACAACACCTGTCAACATAAACAAACAAATCTGACCCAATTACTGAGCGGATGTACAAAAAACTGCTGGCAATTATAGGATCTAACTTTCTTAACGTCTCTTACATTACTTATTAAAAAATAAATGTACAATGTTGGTACTCAAGTTCAAAGTTAATGGACCGTTGCCTTTTTTGAGTGTTTGTTTGCCCTGAAGAACTTTGGAAATCAAAGCTACTATCGAAGACGAAGAGAACGTTGTTGAATTAACGTGCAATTTGATACCGTTTGAGTCACGAAAATTTTCCAGTTGTAGCTCTGATGGCAGTAATTTTGCTACATAAATCTGTAAGTTTGCCCCAAGTTGAAGCCAGATACTTTGAGATTGAAGCAAATGACACTTAAGTGAAGCTAGAATTCTTTAAGAAAGAATCAAAAGTCCTTTTCATTTTCACGAAAATTTGACACGCACACATGAAAAATATAAAGCTGTTCAAAATGTGGTCTATCAAAGCTGAAAGCTAAAAGGTTCGTAAAGGAACGAATTTTCCATTAAAAAGTGAAAATCCAGTTAAAATGGTATTTTTATCAAGTTAAAAAGAATGGAAACAGGAAAGAAAGGCAGAAAGAAAGAGAGAATGAAAAAGGAAAAATATCAAATGTTGTTTGTACAATAACATCCAATCATGATGCCGCAAAAAAGACAATTGTTTTTTATTTTGGTTTTCTTTAATCTTTGCTTAAAGATGATCTCGCTTTCATATTGGAGCCTCCAAAAGGTCTTAAGTATTCATGTTCAATAATAGCGCAATAATCACACCGAATTCTAGTGAATAGTAAAACTAATCACTCGTTAAACCCTCTCTTTYAATCAAAATTACCCACTAGTCACGCAAAATTCATCTTTTTATTGCTACAAAAGGGCGTGACATCAGTTTACAATCAAAATCTATTTAATATTTAGTGTATCAATCAATATATTTGAATGTTTCATTGGTCTTTTTCCCGACTAATGGCCGCCATCTCGAATTCCAAAATTCAAAGAAAATATAGAATGGATCTTCCTCTTGTTTTTCTTCATCAACCTCGTACAAATGCTCTTATTCCTGACCCCARAAGAAAGTGCAAGGGCCCGGAAACGAGGTTGTACGTTCATCAGTACGTTTTTGATCAAATTACTCCATCGCAGTAGCACTGCAAATTATGTTATATGTTTTGAAGGCAACACGATATGTTTTAACAACAAAACAAAATCGACAATCTTATCACTCTTCTGATTGTTAATGAACATTTCATTATGATGAGATGACATAAAGTTTTTTGATGTGTAACCAAATGGAATCTCTGAAATAAAGAACCTTTCGCAGCCATATTGAATGAATATTAAGATATCTTCTTTCTACATGGCTGCGATTACGTAATGTGTACCATGTAATGTGCACATGAATTTTGTTGAAAAATGTGTAATGTTYTTTTGAAGTTACCTTACAACGTGAATAGTCTTTTAAGAGTTAAAGCATGCTTSTCCTTATATTGCAGGCCTTTTTTGCGAATTTTTTCTCAATCTTTCTCTGGTGACCTTACACGTCGGTGAATTTAAACGACAGAGTTGATTAAAAGAGGAACTTGTTTGTGTATCGAGTTCGCGCGACGCAACAACGGCAATCAGGCTCGTTTCCTGTCATGAACTATACCACGTCAACGCGGAAGTCAAACAACTTTCTACTTTCCCTTTTTGTTTCTTAAGGGATTTTGTTCATACCCGATCTCAAATTTGTCAATTATTATAATGGACACCTTTGTGACCGGAATTAACTGGCTAAACTATGGAATTATCTTTGGAGCACGGATTTTCGTGTCCGTAATAATGGGGTGTCCGTAATGCCGGCTTGTCCGTTATAGTGGTGTGTCCGTAATGAAGGCGTGTCCGTAATATCGAGGTGTCCGTAATGTCGGGTTGTCCAGAAAGCGAGATTGGACTGTATTCTAGGTMCGACTTTCGAAAATTCGATTGTGTATTCCAATACCAAACTGCATTGTGGGTCGTCGCGCACCCCTGTAAAAGTAGTCTCCTTGGCAGCCTACCTGTTTGTCAGTGTTCCTGCTGGAAGGGACAGGAAGCCCGACAAAAGTGTAGGCCGAAGGAGACTACAGTAAAAGAGGTTTTGRCTGTTTTCATTTCGATGGAAAGCAATTATAAAGACTTTTGCGTGRAATCAAATAAATTCATTACGGTCTTATCACAGTATTCAGTATATTAATTAACGTTTTTAAAATAGATGTATACTGGCTTATAGCAAGTCAATGGAAAAAGAAACTGTTGTTGTATCAAAGAAAATGAGTAGTCTTAATAATAATAGAAGTGCTTTAATTAAAAAAACTAAAATTTATGTATGAAAAAATCGAATAACAATGAAAATAATTTACGATTAAATAGAAATTGATTGGTTGGAATGACCATAAAGTGGTCTCATTGTTCTGATTAAATTAATTACTGTGGTACCTCTCCTAAAGTGGTCACCCTTTACAAAGCGACCACAATGAGAAAGTCTAAATTCTCCATCAATGCTTGTCGATTCAACAGCCTCGATTCAACAGGGAACATCTTTTTTCAGCATGTTCAAAAAAGGAAAAAAAAGAAAATGTTTCTGGTCATTACGAATCTTTCCTGTATATCCAGACTTTATCTTTGACTTCTTGATTATAGTTCTTAATCCATTCCCAGTACATTGCAGTACTGTTGACAACTGTCACACGACCATACCCATAATGCACTTCGTGATGAAGTGACCATTTTTTCCCAGTCCAAAAAGGCAAATTAAAACTCAGAATGTAACCCGCAGTACCRACTACCATGTACGTAGGGCCATCAGGAACACATTCYTCTCTATAAACTGGGCATGTTCTTTCATAACTGTGGTAGTGTCCCCATAGAGTTAGGTCAACTTTGTATTTATAGAGGACATCTTCAAATTCCTCTCGCATGTGGGCAGCAACGATTGGGTCTCTATTTAATACCTATGGGAGAATATATTGTTAAGAGTAAAACATTGATATCTATGCATACGCAATATAGACTGCTTTGTTTGATAACTCCTCTTGCATCTGTGAAGTATCAGTTGAGTATTTTAGTATTTTAAAAGCTGTTTTTTCATTGGCAAAAAATTAAATTTGAAATCTGCACATGAACAAAGGTAGTGAGGAAGATCAAGAATTAATGAAGGCGACATTTACAATGTTTTAGAAATGTCAGTTCAGCAATGGAAATATATTGTTTTTTTCTTGAAGGACACACCATTTATAATAATGACTTAGGAATGTCAGTTCAATTAGTTGCAAATTTTCCTTTTTTCAGTTCTTTTGCATATTGTTATTTAACAGAATATCCAAAATGAGCTATTATACATGTATTATTGCTGCTAATTATTTGTATTGATTACATAAGTAAAGAGTCAGACAAAATGTGTGTAAATTAGTTTTATTAAGTGATTAAAATAATTACAAAAATCATTTTCTACAGCAGAGTAAGGTGCTCCTTATACATGCAATTCATTACTTGAGTTAGACTGATAGAGGTATATAAATTGTTATATAATACATTAATGATCATTACACAGGAATTTCATTATTATTAATAATTAATAATAATATTTCAGTTGACTAAATTCCAATTCAGCAAAAACTAAAGCTTTCGATCAATTGGTGCCTAGAGTTTTTACAGTTTAGAGGGTAAATTACAGAAAGCCGTTTAGTTGATTACTTCAAGATCCAGACTTTATCCTCAATTTTATCATTTATATTTAACACATACTCCCACAGCATAGCTGTATYATTAGCTACAGTGACTCTACCGTAACCAAAATTAGCTGAGTGAAAAGCTGACCACTTTTTCTCTGGGTCAGGCCAAGGATCAAAAGTCAAGTCAAACCCTGCAGTTCCTATTATAATATGGGTGGGGCCCCCAGGGGTGCATAATTGTCTATATACAGGGCAAGTACGTTCGTAGCTGTGGTAGTGTCCCCAAAGGGCCAGGTCAACTTTGTACTTCATTAGAACATCTTCAAATTYATGTTGCATATGCAGAGCAATTGTGGGGTTTTGACCTTGAACCTGGTTGAAAAATTGTGAATCTTGAGTTTCAAAATATACATGCAAATTAGAGCCCAATTAATAATGACAGATACAATAGTATGCAAAATAAACTTTAGCTGTAATAAGTATAGTTTAATAAAGTGAATCACTTTACAAAGCACTGAAATCATTCTACATTGAATACGCATAAAGTAAAATAGAACCGCTCTTGGCTGTTTTACTGCAATCGGTTGACATCCTGCATTGGTCAATGATCAGGTATCAAACCTGAGACCTTTGCTAGGGTCATGGACCTTTAGATCTGATAAAGGTCACCCTTATTAGTATTCTTTATAAATATAAAGAATACTAATAAAGGAGTTATATAAAGAATACTAATAAGGAGCATTTTATCAGATATAAAGGTCCATGCATGTGACCATGCTTATTCTATGGGCCTAATAACTCATTTTTTGAATAATAATTATCACATAATACTTTACCAGTTGGCTGGTGTACATTGGCCGATGTCCCATAAAGACAATCCACGGAGTGATACTACGGTCCACATTTTCCAAGTCTTCAACCAACCACTTGTATTGAACGGATCCTTTGGTAAAGTTATGTTCYGTACTCATCATAACAAAGTGAACGCTACCATAATCAAAGCTGTACCTATGGAAACAAGGTATGATGGTACACTTATTAGGAATATTTCATAAATTAATGGTCTATATCTAAAATCTAAAATCACGCAGTTTGTAACAATTCACCTGAACTGAACAAAAACATCATAAAACGATAATGCATACATACTCAATAAAAATCCAATCAAATGATAATMATATTCTTACCACCAGAGWGCATTGCCATTTTCYGGCATRTGGAAGCGTTTATACATAGGAACCCCACACTCYCCCCCAGAGTCRTCACCAAAGTTTCCCCAGGAGGGRTGGAAGCCTTCCCCAGGTGCACCACTGGGATCCTTTGAGCCTCCAGTYAAGTGATCCTGCTCATGGTTTCCTATACCAACCATATATGGTACTAGAGTTGCATAGGGCTCAATAAGAGCATGCCATTGGTCCCACAGGTATGCCTGGAAACATTAATAAATTATTATTTATTCAATAGATATCAATGTGGTAGGAGTATTTGAGCTGATTGTGGGTGGAGCTTAATGTTACTTTGACCAATAAATGTATATAATAATATTGAATAATAATGAATAAATGCAATAATAATAATATTTAAAAATGCAATAACAAAATACAATATCAAAATACAAATATAATATCAAAATACATACATATCCTCTTGCATATGATATATCTCCAACATGCAGAATAAGCTGTGCTCCTCTCTTGACTTCTTTGAGAGATTCTCTTGCCGTTATCACTGAGCCTGGTGAGGGTGTCACACCCATGTCTCCGTACGCTACAAACTTAATGGGGACATCTTTTCCTGGCACTGGTGCCGCAGTGAAATTATATATTTTGCTCATTGCCTGAAAAGATAKAAATATAAGGCTTTAGCAAAATTTACTCGGTATTAAGTATATGCCTTTTATCATGTCTCACCTCAGCAGAACCATACTGAAAAAAGTACTTTACTCCAGGTTTTAATCCCGTAAGCAGTGCATCATGGATGAACCCTGGTTCTCTGAATCCTATTCCATTGGCAGGCTCACCGCACATGTCTTTAGCCTTGTAAGTAGATGAATTGCCACTTGCTTTCATTGATAGTGATGTTTGATTGATTCCATACAAAACAACGGGCATTGAATCTGGAATTAGTCAAGTCAAAAAGCTCAAAGAAATGAAAAAATGGAAAGAAAAAATGAGAACTGAGAGAATGGTTTGAAAGTAAATATAATGTACATAATATTTGCTCAAAAACTTAAATTCGTGTCTATATGTCCGGGACCCTGACAGTGTCACGAAAAACTAGATGTCGGGAGTCAAAATAATTTACTAAAATTACGGGAGAATGTAAATCTAGTCTAATCAAAAATACTTTACTGTATTTAGGTTCAGGTAGTCTTCCTTTTGACCAAATTTCGTTGACTTTTCAAAGCTTCATCACTGCTCGGAATGTTGTTCGTCCGTCGGTACGACGAGGACCAACTATTCATCCTAGGGTTGGGTGAGCTGGGCATTTTACTCGAGGGGGGCTCAAAAGCCCCCCCCCCCAGTCTGAATAGGGTTAATCATCGTTATGTAGAGGAATTGTAGATGCAATATTGGTGTTTAAGAGAGAGCCACGCAAAGTTCTATGGGATTGATTGTTCTTTAATCATCGTTATGTGGAGGAATTGTAGACGCAATATTGGTGTTTAAGAGAGAGCCACGCAAAGTTCTATGGGATTGATTGTTCTTTAATCATCGTTATGTGGAGGAATTGTAGACGCAATATTGGTGTTTAAGAGAGAGCCACGCAAAGTTCTATGGGATTGATTGTTCTTT